TCTCTCTCTCTCTGTCTCTCTGTCTCTCTCTCTCTCTGTCTCTCTCTGTCTGTCTCTCTCTGTCTCTCTTTCTCACCCCAACTGGTCGAGGCAGATTGCCACCCACCTAGAGTTGGGGTCTGTCCGCTTACTGATGTGGTGTTTCAACTGTACCAGGACCCCAGTATAGAAATAATGGGCATGTTTCAAGACTTATTCAAGGATTCAAGGTTATTTGTCACTTACAATGCAGGGTTGTATAATGAAAGTCAGATTTTAGTTCCCTTTATGCTACTTGTAAAACAAAAAATACATGTATACAAAAATTATTTAGGCCACAGTAAGTCATAAATATATTTTGCATGAATTGAATCTGTTTTTAAGTCTGGAGGAAGCTTCTGTACCTCTTTCGAGAATGCAGCATGGTGAACAGGCTGTGGCTGGGGTGGGTGCTGTCTTTTAGTATCCTTTGGGCTCACCTCACCAATATCACTGATGCTGGGTAGCTGATGACTTATTAATGAAGGCATGCAGACTTGTTGCAGTTCTGTGATGTATCAGGAGGTGGCAGCAGGTGGACAACTACTTCAAAATATCCCATCAGTCAGTACCTTAAAAATGCCTGGCCATTCCAATTTGGTGTCAAATGCTGTCAAAAAACACATTCATTTAGATTAATTTTAAAAATAACTTGTAAACACATATAATTTAATGATCTGATATGGCCACATTTTAGACTCCGTCATAGGCTGAAGTTCAGTGAAAAAGACATGTATTTAGAAAAAGGTGTGAAGATTCTAATGACACCTTTAGATATTTCTATTCAATGCTTTACTAATGTGCCAGAACAATGTTTCTGAATTCAAATATCTGGCAAACATTAATATATGTGATTAAATCAGCATATATTTCTGCCACCCCTTTAAAGTCTCCATACCACCCTCTGAACACCCCATGAATATTTCTCTAGTCAGGAGGAGGGGGGTGTAGGCAGGCAAACTCATTTGCACTAATGAGATTTCCCATTTAAGCATTCAAATGAAGCTAAACGCTAACTTAGGTGCTTTTGTATTTTTTCTTTATTACATAAACAGTGTTCATAATAGGTTTTTGAAGGTTGATATTCACATTTCTCAGAATAATTATACTCACATGTGTGCATTGTACAGCCCCCCATTCCCCAATAAATGAATTCAATGAAAATAATTTACCACCAGAATGTTATATGTTTGGCAGTAGGGAGAAGGTCATGAAACAGTATTCAGACCAGCCAACTTTACTTGAATATTTGGATAATAATGATATTTACTGCTGATGCAGTTTACTTGAAATGTTCATGTCATGTAACTAAAGCTCTCTGTGTTGGAATTCTTCTGACTTAATTGTGATTTGCTTATTCAGGCCCCCTGGTGGTTGCAGGGCCCTAAATTAACCTCGAGCCACAGTTGTATTTTCTGCTGTTAGGCCATGTTTGAGTTTATTTTGCAAAGTAATTCATATTTTTTTACTTCACCACAATTGGTTCTACTCCTATACTCCCAAAGTCATTGCAAATGTTCAGGGCCTGAACAAAAACAACCAATCAGAGCTGAGAAAGATAGAAAGGATGCCTTGGGTTGGTGGCTTGATGAAATGGCGTTAGATGGTAGCGCCTGTATCTGGGATATTTTGGCTTCAATTTTGTACAGTGGGAGGAAGTGGAGACATGATGTCAATCTTTTATATGTCAATGCTACTAACCAAGACAATAACTTTAGCTTACAGGTAAGAATGCTACTTGTAGCTGCCCTCTGGTGGTCTGGAGTATTAATAACTAGGCAAATCTGTAACTAGGCAAATTAGCAGAATCTAGTGTTGTAGTTACAGATCATAACTCCCTCGTTTCACCTTCTTCTTCCAAGTGCAAAGGAAAAACTACGGTGGCCGCAAAAAGCCCCTATGTAGAGCTTGTTTAGTTTTTCCCTTCTGGGCTACTGTAGAAACATGGTGGATCAACATGGCGGACTCATGAAAACATACCTATGAAAATGTTTTTCAATTTCTGCCAATAGATCCTCCTAAATATTACACACACAAAAGGTACTTTGCCTAGTAACTTATTACTTTATATGCAGTAATATGCGGTAAAGTAATTAAATTACTATGAAAGAAGTATTTGTAACTGATTACTATTTTTAAGTAATTTGCACAACACTGGTCAGGATATAGTTAAAGTTTTCAGCAAGTATAATAAAAAGTTATTTTTATAACTTGTGTCGGTATGAAATATAAATGGTGTTCAGTTACTCCTCCGTTATGGAGCAGTCATACTGCTGGCTCTGACTGAGATGATGTTGGTGTAGTGTTGAGTAAAACACATCTGAGCTGTTCATATTCTTCATGATTCATGATGATGACACATTTACATAGCACAGAGTGGATCTCACTGTAGCCCCCACCCCCACCCTGTGAGTTTCACTCAGTCTCCATTCAGACTAAGTGAATGAATTTTCATGGTGCCAAGCAGTGGAACAACCAGTGCTACTGTAGCTCATAATGTAACTGAGCTCTGACAGTGTTTCTGCCAGGACTTCTAAAGACATACAATCTGTGATGTGATGACGAATCATTCTGATGTTTGTCCTTAAACAGGGTTTTATTATGTTCACTTTGTAACTTTGCTACAGAGTTAACTGTATAGGATAGTACAGTAAATCTGACATGAAATGAGGCACCCTGCAACCAGAGTCCAACCTGGGGACGTAGTAGACAGACTTTTTAAGCTCTTGGTAAACCACGGAAAAAGTTTTTTAAGTAGAGTATGTTTTTCTTGTACCGTAAAAAAGCATTTTCCCCATCAATGTAAATTAAAAACGCTGAATAAAGACACTGCTCTTGTCAGCCATAAAACACCCACTTCCTTACCGCAGCCATTTTACAAAGAATAACAAAATATTTAATTAACTAAAACAAAGAAGAACATGGTTTCTCTACCATCAGCCTCCATGTCGGACTATCAGCAGCCTCCTCCTCAATGAAAAAGTACTGGGTGTGTTTCCCAGCAAAGAGCAGATGTTGCCCAGAACCATGCACTTCATCAGCAGAAAAAAAACATCTGATAGTCTCAGTCCACAGGGAAGAGGTTTTCAGTGAGTTAGAGGAAGGCCAGGATGCAGCCGATTCTCCACACATCTATAGCCTCAGTGAAGGGCAACTTGGGGTCCTGAGGGAGGAAAATCAGCTAAAGTGAGAAATCTGTTGAGGACGAAGAGAAGATGTGCATTTTTAGAAAAATGACACAGCCTGAGCATTTTAACAGATGAGCCGTGCAAGATGAAGACACACCTGTATCTAAATGGCTGAAAGTCCATCCCAGGCTGGATTTTGGATACTGGAATTGCATTGCCAAAGTCTATTAGTTTTACTTTGAGGGGCTGGCCCTGTCTGTTGACAAACATAATATTGTCCGGTTTAAGCAGTACTGTATGTCATAAGAATCAAATGAAAATCTACCTCTTTCTCTCTGTCCTGGATAAAATGTGTCCTTATTGAGGATCTTAACTGCCACTGTCTCTTTTGTTGCCAGATTTTGGCACTTGGCTGCTTTAACATAGCAGCCTTCACCAAAAAACTCCAGAACAGAGTAACGAGAAGAGCTGCTGAACAGAGTTTGACCTGCCTGAAGCTCAGGTGCTGTCAGTATGACTGTGGGAAGAGATGATGAACATGGATAGAAAATACGTGAAGTGTGTGTATTAAGCCTCTGAGGGTCATTCAGTCAACGCAACATAAACTAACGCACAGCTGAACCAGCTCATGTCCTTGTATGTCAGTGTTCGCTTGTCATTTTACGACCATGTGAAGAAGCAGAATGTATCAAATACTGATGATATTCTGAGCTTTGCAATCGAAAAGAGATTTAAGAAGGTTGAGATAAAATATTAATAATGTCCCCAGTTTGTTTTAAGCAGATACATTCAGCATCATGTACGGTTTTGTTTGTTGAATCTTCTTACCTGATGCACCAGAGGAATTTGAGCTTGACCACAATGACATTTTTCAAAGTAAACTCTTCTCAGTTTTTTCCTAGGTTGAGAATGAACCTTCAAGCTGTATCCTTGTAATTTCCAAACATATGATATCTTCTACAAATTACTCTTAAATCTGTGTTTCATATGCATGATGGTTAAAAAAACACAAAATACAGAGAATTGTATAAAAGGTTCCTAAAAATATCAGGGAAACACAGGAGTTTATATCCACAGGAAATGCTCAAAATTCCTCCAAATGGTTTGTTTTACACAAACGTCCTGCAGTTATTGTGTTCACTGTACAATTGATCTTACTTACTTACTACTCAATGACAGAAACGGGGTCCCTTGAGGAAAAAGGTTAGGAAACATTGACTTACTGTACCATCATTAAACAGTCTGTAGTTAGTACAGTATGGTTTTGGAGTGAAGTCAAACTACCTCACAGCAATTCATCCATCCCCTTTCCAAAACGTATCAGGGTCTGGGTTACAGGAAGGCCAGACCTCGTCCTGCCCCAGGTTCACTAGCTCCTCCCAGGGGACATTATTGTCCCCAGGATGGATGGGACATCTTTGCAGCATAGTGTCTGTCCTGGTGTCTCCTCTTAGTCGGGGTTATCAAGAATACCTCTGAATGGGGCGTTGAGGAGGAACCTGGATCAGATGGTGAACAGCAACAACTAACAATGGAATTAGTGATTTTCACTCATGCAGCTTATAAAGATGAAACTGATATTTCAGTCAAGGTCTATGTGAAGCTACTACACTTTTGTCTTTAGCACTAAATATGATCCTGATTCACTAAAACTGTTGATTTTAATTATTAATCCGACAAATTGTTTTTCTTCCAGTAGTTCTATCTACCAGCAGCACACAATTTTCCTCCTATAGATATTTAGAAATCTATGCTGCCTCATCTTGGAGTATGCATCCTATGGAGGCCCATTTCTGTCAAAGTAATGAGAAACGTTCTCAATATTTTGATTTAGTATCTCAAAATAATGACTTAATATCACAAAGTCATTATTTTTGAGACACAAGCCATGAAAGATTGTCTCATTCCTATGGCACCAAATACAGACGCTTTTGGACCCTGGGAATGAGACTCAACTATCAACTATCTTCCCAAGCTTCCAGCCCAAAGCATCTTTTTTCCCCCCTTTCTTGGCTCTGATTGGTTGTTTTCATTCAAAGTTGTTTTTATAAATGTTACCTACTGCCTATTTTATGTCATACTAGCCAAAAAAGTACAAAGAATATTAATGAAAATTTGTATTGGTTCCATGTTGCTTTGATTTTGTAGTTGTTACAGCATAATCAATATTTCTTTCCAAAAACACATTTAAAAGACACAGATCATTTTAATGCCTAAGATTCAGCTTATTGAATTATAGACTTTTTAAGACCCCAAGGGCACCCTGTTTCCCATGATGATGGTCATGAAGGCTTGAACTAGAGTTGTTCCAGTATTGGATATTCCTCCGATACTGACTAAACTGCGATATCAGGTATCGGCCAGTATGTGCGTCTGTGCACCAATCCGATACCATGTCATTTATCAGGACCCTGCTACTTCCCAGTTCTCCATTTTTTCCCCAGGAGTGTCATGACCTGCCCTACTCTGACTCTGAGGGTCAGAGTAAGCTTTAACCTAAGCCAGGCCATACAACAATGATTGGTACGTGGTATCGGCCAACACTCAAAGTTGAAGTATTGGAATTGGTTTCATGAAGGAAGAAATGGTATTGGAACATCTCTAGTTAGAACATAACTTGCAAACTAACAGATCAGAGACCAGCCAAGATTTCAGTACCCTGAAAACAGGATGAAACTCAGATTTACTGGTTTACAAAGTACACAAAATTCCTTCCATATCCATATACCATTTATAGAATGCCTTCCATATTTGTGCATCATAATGCAGCTTTAACATTAAGACTCAACATCAACAGTACATGCATTATTAAATAAACAAAAAAAAAAAAACACATTGGTATTAGAACATATAAAATTGCATAACTCATCCTACCAGCATTAATTTTTTTAATAAAAAACAATTATGACTAAGAAGAGGTTAGACAAGCAGTAAACAGAGAGGGGAAAGGGGGTGCTTATGTTATTCCTACACACTTTTAAAGTAAAATTCAACAATATATTTTTACTTTTCAGATGAAAACCAAAGTCATGCTTTGTTTTCTGAACACAATGCGTGTTGTCTGCAGACTGACACACAGCGGAGTGCATAAAGAAAGTAATGGAAAAAAGGGGGAGGCGAGGGGGGCGGGGGGGTCTTATCATCACATACATCAGAACAACACTGTGGTCCCATACACTGAAACAATAACACCACCCTGAGCCAAAATATAAGGACAGCTCCAATTCAGAAAAACATTAACAAAATGCATAGAAAAGTCTGCATCCAAATCCTCGGATTTGAATCGTAGGTTAACAAATGAGTCAGCAGGGAGAGGACATAGGGGAAATAAACACAACCTAAGTATGTACATCCAAACAACAGTAGAGCACTATTATTACATTGTTTTGTTGCTTTTTTTTCCTCCTTCCGATCCGAGCTCAAGTTTGTTGGTATGTTTGTGCTGAGGTAACACTTCTCCAGCAGAGGATGCTTCCGTCTTTACTTGTGTTCCAGTCGCAGGAGCTGCTCCTTACCATTAATGGTTAATGACCGCAGCTGCCCGTCCTCCTCCACCTCCACCCGCTCTTGACCGTTCTCCACGATTCTGGTGGAAGAGAGGGTGAGGAAGATGAGAGGAAGATGAGAGAAAGGACATATATACGGACTAAAAATGCTCTTGAGTTCTAAAGAAGTGGAAACTGTGAATTGAGCAATACCCCATGAGTATGAAGATAATATAGTCTCCAAAGTCAACAATAAAAAAAAAAACAGCCAGCCCTACTTCTTCCACTGACCAAGCTAAGTTAGCTGCTGGGTGCTAATCAAAGTTACACAATGTTGCCAAGCAGATAAGTTCCTGCAGTTGGACCATTTCTGTTTTGGCTCTATAGTTAGCTTCAATTTTTTCCCCCCTGGGATTATTAAAGTATTTCTGATTCTGAATCAGGGTAAGCATCAGA